ACGACCGGAAAAAAATATATTTTCCAGATTAAAGGTGAATGTTATCCGCCACAACGTCGTTCAACTACTCTCAAAAAATCCACAGATTGTAAATACTGCGATTTGAATTCTCAGTATATTGAAATTCTTGATACACGTCTCGACGATTTTGAAGGCATTTTTGATCGAATGGCTCAACAAAATAAAGAGGAAGAAGTAAAAGTAATGCCGGATTTTTCGAGTTTGGTAAGTAATTTAGTTTTCATCTACATGCGAATTCTTATGCTTAAGCGTGTTTATTTACTTATTTTTTTTTTAATAAATTTCTAAAAGAATATAGATGACTTGCTAAAGATATCACATAATATTAAAGATATGTCTTTTAATTTTTTTTGTAAATAAACAAATAATTCTTTTTTGTCTTTAATTTTATGACAAATTTTAAATTTTAATATGTTCAATAATTAATTGTATAAAGCAAAGCGAACTCTATTTATATTAAGAGACTTTATGATATATAGGAAAAATTAAACTTTTGGCCCGCAGTGTGTTTCAAGCCAATTTACTGTTAGAAGTTAAGGAAATCGTAGATTAGCGCAAAAAGGATATACGCAATTTTAAAAATACAATGTATTTTACCTGATTAATAAATTTTTTACTACTGACTTCCGTTATAAGCAAGTGGTGAGTCGACCGCGATTCTTTTATTGCGATAATATAATTTATCGAGTGTCTGATATCAAGTTTTGTAGCATGTGAATTAAATTAATAATTGCTACCACTATCATTATTTAATAAACAATGTAATCACATGAAAATATAAAATCGATCGATAATCAAATTTCAAGATATCGTTAAAAAGCTCAATCAAGAGAATACTAATAGACATCGCTAAACTGAGCGCAATTTCAATAGTGAAGAGTCGTTAACCCGCGAATTTATTGAATCGCATAGTTGTTAAATCGAGCCTTGATTGTATACCGTTCGGTATTATTCAAACATGTTGGATGTTCACATTGAATAATACTTTGCAGGTTCTGATTTTTTTATGATCTATCAAAAATTTTCGGTTCGGTAATTTATCAACGGTACATCATTTACCGAATTTTTACCGATCATCAATTACCGAATTTTTACTGATCATCAATTACCGGTACATTAATTACCGAATTACCAAATTTACCGATATCTTGCATTCGAGGAGTCAACTAAGGAAAAAAGCTAGCAGATAAAGCAAAATATAATTTTATTATGTCCGAGTTTGTTTATATAACTTTTTTTATGAAACACACTGACTAATAAATAATATATAGAGATAAAAATTTTGAATCAAGGGACTAATAAATTCTATAAGCAATGTAAAATTTATTCCTGAATTTAGTGTTTCGGGCGGAACTAGTTTCGCTCAATTTGATCTAGAAAGTGTTTCCAAATTAAGGTTTCTGATGGTTTCGGACGAAACTGAAAGTTCACTGGACGAAACGTTTCGTAGTTTCGCCCGAAAAACTATATTAATTGATGATCCGCGAATTAATAAGAATTATGTGACTGGAATGACAAAATTCTTTAATAAAATTTTAATTAATCAATATTTATTATTTGAATTATTCATTTGAATATTTGTTTCCATGAATTATTAAAAGTTCAATTATATAATGCCAATTAGTTTAACTTGGGGGGAAAAATGCCATTTCAGAATTGTTATAATTTCTTAATTAAATCCTGTCATAATTGATTACAGATTCAGAATCATCAATTAAGAGAAAATTAAATAAATAAGAAACTCAAACATCTGTGCAGCCGTAATCCACATGTTTATCCATAATTTTAATGAATATTGGCATGGCACGAATTAATATAGAATTTTAAAAATATTGTAATATAATTTTATTCATACACTGAGAAAGTTAATACAGTGGCGTTCTCTGTGCCTGCCTGCCATATTGTCCAATAAATCGGCAGATCCGTTATATCAGACAAAATTTATATATAGTTTGTTTCGGAAAATAATCCGTTATAGGTCGAATCCGCTACACAATGAAAGTTGATATAACGGATTTGGCTTATAACGGACTATTTTGGAACCAGCTATACTAAATTCTGTCTATTATAACAGATCTGCTGATTTATCAGACAATCTGGCAGGCAGTATAGAAGGGCTCGTCAGATCGACTTTTTCTGTGTACGTCTTCGTTTATATTTTCTTTCAAAACAAAAAAGTTTATGCAAATAATATTTTCCAAACATTATAATATGTAAATATCTTTGTAGAGATGTTTAGATTATTATCGTATTGTTCCGAAATTAGGCATTCCCGAAATTAAGCACCCCACAATTGTATATCAACCAAAAATAAGCACCCGATAAATCAGTCGGGGATAAAAACTTTTAACAACCTGTTTGCTGTTATTGTTCTCCTTAGTTATCAAATTCAAATCCTATGGTGCATAACATCTAAAGTTATCAAATGTTTGTATTTTATAAAATGGATAAACTTCTTTACTAAGAAGTAAATACAAAATTTAATCCGTGAATATGCTCAGAAA